ACCGGCACGATTGACCCGAAGCATCTTCATCCGCACGTCGGGCCGTCTGTAGCTCAATCAGGCGATTTCACGCGGGCATGTGAAGGGATGGAACGGGAGGCCCTTCCGCGAGCGGGGGAGGCCCGATTGGTCTTGATGTCCGGCGAAACGAGCCGTGCCAGGTCTCAACCCCTCTTTTCCCCGTCTTTACACAGAGGACATTCCCCTTGCACCATATATTCGCTTGCATTCAACCGGGCAGGGTCTCGACTGGCCACCTCGAGTGACAAAGGGACTGTTCATGTATTTCACCTTTCCTCTTCCCCTCCTTCGACTACCTCCTCTCCCACCCCTCCATCCCTCCGACCGCCTCGCTCCGACCAGAGTAAACAGTCCCAGGACCCTGCTTCATCCTCGCATCAGATGTCGCTGTCATTCAGGGCGAGAGGTACTAGTGGAGGGCTCTTCTCTGGCATTTTTCCTTCTTCCTTGTCCACCTCCTCCTCCGAGCTCATGACCAAGTTCCTTCCTTCCAACTCCTTGTCGGAGACCGTAGAGGGTATAGAAGGCATCCGCTCCTTTGCTCAAGCGCGTGTGAAAGAAGACTGGAACAGGGAAAGTGGGAAATGGAAAAGGCAGATTTGTGCTTTAGTGCCTGGCCGACGCGGGGCCGGTGGAGAGGGGGAGGGGGCGATGAAAGAAGGCAAGGAGACGGATGAAGAGTTTTTGATCGTATTGACCGCGGAAGGTCTTTTCTACCGGTTTGAGCTGGATGTGAGACGGGGAGGAAATTGTCGACTGTTGGACGAAAAAACATTGTTGCAAGAAGAAGCTGCCTCCCAGGCCGGTGCTCCCCGCTTATTGGGCGGCAAGACGGATGAAGCAGGGCAGGAAAAAAGTTTTAATCCACATCATTCACGCCCAAATGGGTAGGAAATGGGAAAGTTAAGTTTTGAAAAAGAATTGAAACACGTGTAGATGCATTTTTGGCCGAAATTTACATCACATCGCCTCGCTGATGCTGCGATCATTCCGACCAAAATTTGGAGAAGCGGAGTGTTTGAAGAAGGGGACGCTTCGGGCGGACGGGTTGGTATTATGGTGCTCGATTAATTGGGGGGTACGTACTTGATCGAACGCAAATTCCATGTCGTTTGATATTGAAAATCGCTTCACAAAAAGGTACCTGTGCACGGTTGCCACGGTGACAAAGGATGGTAAATCAAAAAAATGAAGGCGGTGTCGTGGATTTCCTTTTTGGTTGGTTTCTTTTTTCAGGAGACGGCGTTTAGCGCGTCGTCGAGGTCCTGTCCTGTAAGTGGTTTTCGATGCGGCTGAGGATGGGCTTGAACAAGTCCTGGTATTCGTCGAGTGTGGGGGGAGAGGTTTGGAAGTATGTCGAGATCTGATTTTGCCCGCGGAGGCAGGTGCGCATGTTCGTGAGAAGGACGCAGACCATGATGTGCTTCACAAACGGGGTGCACCCAATTCTCTTCAAGGTCTTGAATTGAAGGCTCTCCCAGAGGTTGTAGAGATGCGTAAACGCCCACCCGTCACTCGGACGCGGGTGATGCCCGTGTTGAAGTGGAGCTGTTCCTGGCTGAGGTATTGGAGGGGGTCGAAGGCGCAGACAAGATTCTACTTGCACCCGTTGTAGGCCGGGTCCCCGACAGCAGACCAGCGCCCACCGTCACAGTAATCAGACTCCCTGCACTCTCGGATGAAATTGAGGTAGTCGGAAACGCAAGATTTGGCCCAGAGCGTCGAGTCCTTCTCCTTGCCACCCTCTGGTGGTGTGGGAGACAAGTGGGTTCGTGAATGGAGGATGGAATACACGCATGAGAGAGGAAGTATGGGCTTACCTGGGCCGAAGAAAGCCTGGAAGAGGCCCGTGACGCTCAAGCCGCCTTGGAACTTGAAGCCGTGAGCCTTGTAGTACTCTGTCGAAGTCGGTGTCGGGGTCAATATGGGTGAGTTAGAGTGTGTAAGAGGGTGTTTCAGAGTGGAAGCGGACGGATCACGGACCGGAATAGTACGAAGCTTGATTCACTTGGGGCTTGCATATCGGCCTAGGATCGTTAGGGTCAGATGGAGACATCCGAGGCAGGCGTTCGTCCACCGCGCGATTTGTGTCCGGTCCGCCCGAAACAGGTCCTGCATGTTCTTCCCGGTCAATGGATGCGCGAGTCTTGTCAGCATCACGAATGCCAGATCTCCTTCGCACGTTCCCGCTCTGTAAGAAGTCGGGGGGGAGGGGCAGTAAGCAATAGATGTGCAGGTATGGAATCATATATCCTGTCAGCCGACCAACCGAGGGCAGCACGTACCCGGAAATATTAGATTGGATGTGTGTCAGGCCCGTCCGCACCACTAGGGTGTTCACCTCGTCGGCGGTGAAGCGCGTTAAGTACTCCACCTGAACGCCCAGCAAGGCGAGGGCAGCCTCAAGGGCACGCGGCCTCGTTGGGTCGATGTACCATGGCTCAGGGCTAGCCATCAGGGGGTTGTTCATGATGATTACATAAGTTGAAATAATAAAAATCATCTTAGCGGCGACCTTGCGCTTCCGGCTTCTTCATCGTCTTCCTCGTCTTGCCAGCCACGCACAAGCACGTTGTCCATGGCTGCTGGGGTGAGAGTATGTCCAAAGGATGTACGTTCGTCAATTTTTGCAATTTTTGCAATTGATGGACCATGATTTGACATTTAAAGTGGTGGCAGAAAGGGGACGTAGGACCGCTTACCCTTTACTAGAATATAGTATATGGGCCAGCATTTCACGGCTCGGTCATCTGGCACTATTCGAAGGAAAAGGGTGCAAAGCAAGGAAAACAGGCATGGAACCCAAATACAGCTTTAGTTCACTCGACCCTGGAAATTTCAAACCGACGGATAGTTTTTGGAGGTTTCTCGTGCTCAGAGGGTCTATTTGTGTTCAAAGGGTCTGGTACACGACTCCGGCTGGTTTTCGGACGGTCTAGTTGTGTTCGGAGGATCTATAAAGCGACGCGCCTCCATAGAAGGCGATCAAATCGACGTAATTCAAAATTCAGAGGGACAATTTCGTCCGCCAAATTAATCCACGCGTTGCTGACTTTTCGTGTATTTGTACGACTTACATACAAGGAGTCGTATTTTGCCGTGGCACCTTGTATTTTGCCGAAACTCAACTCATTACGATGCCTCCCTCATACCACAGAAACCAAAGCCACGATGAAGTCTTTTGCTGCCCCTATTTTTCTCCTCGCTGCCACCCTCCTCCAGGTACGATGCTCTCGCACCCTAAAGACAGACATGTGACAACTTCGCTTTCTCCCGTTATGAAATAAATTTGAACACTGCAAGGACGAGTTCGGACTCTTCCCCTGATGGCCAGCATTTCCCGTGACGAAGTTGGCATTGCTCACGAAAACATTCTTTATTAAAGCCAAACGTTTGCCGCATTTCGAGCTTATCAAATAAGGTTGCACGCGCAAATCTCTGGTTTACGAGTGGCGTGGAGTGCGTGTACCGTCTAGCGTCTCCCAGGCGACTCGTCCCTCTTCGGTAGCGCGGAAGCCCTCATCGCCTCCTTCTATTCTTCTTTTTTGTCTGTTTATCGTTGCATCTTCACGCACACACAGCTTGCTGTCGCAACCAAATGCCCATCCGGCCTGACGTGCTCTGGTAATGTAAGTGAGAATATTCGAAAAGCGGACTGATGCTTCCAACCCTACCGGGGCGAGCGCCCAGAGAGGCTTGCTATCAGCCTTTTTTCCCACCTCGAAGCATTCGTATTTGAAGTGTCGGTATTTTTCTCCGCTATCAGCGTCCGTGCTCAATGATGCTCGTGGATTTACCAAGCTTCTTGCTCAAAAAGGATGCCCGCAGCTAGAAATCTCACCTTGTTACATACACATGCCTTTTTCTCCACTTATCGACGCCGTTAAGTCCAAAGAAGAGGCGTTTCTGGTGGATGGTATCACTTCGAACGCCTGTTTTGTCGTCAGCAAGTCTTACTGGTGCGTGCGCGAGGATTCCCGTTCGATTCCTTGTTCTCTCTCTCCTTCTCTCCCAATCCACCTTGCCTGATGCATCGCAATGGGGATTTTTATCAACGACTCATTCCTCCCATCGCACGCGGTTCTCTAGCCCCTTCTGCATGCGGGCCAAGAGCACCCTGGCCTCCGTGGGCGCAGATTGTGAGATCATCGAACTCGACCAACGTGCGGACGGGCCCGCCCTCCAACGTGTCCTGGCCGACATGACGGGTCGCCGCACCGTGCCCAACGTCTTCATCGGTGGGAAAAGCATCGGCGGGGCGGATGACACGGTGCGCACTTGTCTGTGGCAGGTTGCTTGCCTTTCCTATTTTTCCCTTTCTCTTTCCCTCCAGCTTGGCAAGAGCGTCGGAATATGTCTCGAAAAGCACCTCTTTCGAGCCACATAACGGGCCTCGGAACACTCTGCTTACCTTCAGTCCCTATTGTTCTTCACAGTTGCTTCTGCATTCCAAGGGAGAGCTCAAGCGCCTCCTCGTGTCGGCAAAGGACCTTTAAATTTGCCAGCGGTGAGGGGCCGCTGTGTTAGCCTCTGAAGTCAGCGTAGCGGAATGGAGTCATGGTGGGAGTGTTGTTCGAGATACTTGATTGCTAAGGGATGTACGGGCTGTTTGTAATCATAAGAATCAATGAAAAATGGTCCGACGATTCCAACGGCATGAGTTAAAAAAGTAAAAAATGCAAGACGCAGAGAAGGACTGGTCAGTGGCTCCCTTTGTAGAAAAGGACGCGAGCGTTTTTATTTCATTCCTTGGCTTGCACTTACTCACACTCAGGCCAGTCTCTTTCTAGGTTTGAGATCATGTCATGCGTTTCGTCGCCCTGATGCGCTGCGGGGTCGTGGGTTTTGTCGCTAATTTTTATTTGGAGATGGTGCTGGGGCGGCAACTCGAATCGTAGAAGAACGACTAAATCGTAATGCTGCCGCCATTGGCTCAAATGTGCCGCTCTTCCAACCACGCGTCCCATCCCACGCTTTCGCGCACCCTCTTTTTTAAGCAAGGGCGCAGAGCGAAAGAGAAGCGGAAGTCAGGACCGGAATATATGGAGAATTTGAGGGCGATCTCGAGCAATTTTATGGAAGGGCCATATGCTGGCGGAGGGCCTAGTTTGAATGTGCTGCCCCGGGCGGTGTGGCTTTGACGCGTTAAGCAATGGGTTCACTGACCCATTTTGCTGATATGCGGCTTGTGTTGTTAGAACTCAACAGCATTGTCACAGCCTTTGACTTTTTGGAGCCAGTGGCCCCTTGCCTTTTTGCCGAAATGCTCCGCGCTTTGAATGGGAGCGAGCCCGCGTGCTTTCATCTTTTCGACTGAAAACGATTTTTATAATTCAACTTACGTCGTCTCTACCCTCACGTTTCTACCAAATAAAATTAAAAATTGAAACAGCAACACCAGTGAAGTAGGGTGAAGAGCAAGCCAGGGATGCATGCGCAGGTTTCTAGTGTCCTAGTGCGGCGAGGGAGCAGGCATGCTTGGGCAAGCACAGTGATCAAGATGACGTCCTCCTTTTCCGGTAACTTCGCCCAAAAAAACTCGTCCAGACAACGATACCCACAACAAAATGTGGTAGGAAGGTATGCCAGCAGGGCAGCCTACATGAGCCCCGGTAGCTCCTCCTCCTCTTCCTCCTCTTCCTCGTTCATGCGGTGGGGCTGGGGTCTGGCAGCGGCTACTGCTGCCCTAGGTGCACTCTCAGAGCGGCAAGACTCGCCCACAGAAGCTTGTGGGATTGTTGGTGTAATCGGAGAGGACGACGCTCGTTCCATTCTAATGGAGGGTCTGACCGTGCTGCAAAATCGGGGGTACGACTCTGCCGGAATAGCGACCATCTCCCCGCACGACAACGTATTGACCGTCACGAAGTATGCCTCCGCGGGCTCCACGTACGACTGCATCGACCTGGTCAAGGAAAATAGCCACCGGCACAAGGGGCATCACGTGGGGATTGCCCACACTCGATGGGCCACACACGGGGGCAAGACCGACCTGAACGCACACCCCCACACGGACAGCAAGGGCCGGGTGGCGGTAGTGCACAACGGCACCATCACCAACAGCCACGAGCTTCGACACGAACTCCAGCATGCTCACGGGATCAAGTTTGTCTCCGAGACGGACACGGAGATCATCGCGCAGTTGATCGGCCTGGGCCTGGATGAGAATTTGAGCTTGAAAGATGCGACCGCAGAGGCCCTAAAACGCTGTGACGGTACGTGGGGCCTGGTGGTGCTCTCTCCCAAAGAGCCCGATGAATTGGTGGTGGCCTGCAACGGCTCGCCCATGGTGCTGGGCATTGGGGAAGGCCGGGTCTTCATCGCCTCGGAGACGTCTGCCTTCAACCGGCACACCAAAAATTTCATTGCCCTGAAAGATGGGGAGCTGGGAGTGGTCCGGGCGGACGGGTCCACCTTGGACTTGACGCGCGTGCAGAAAGCGCCAGACGTGAACATCCTCCTCTCCCCTGCCCCGTACCCGCACTGGACGATCCGCGAGTGTATGGAACAGCCAGAAGCGATCGCCCGAGCCCTAGGCTTTGGGGGCCGCATGAGCGACACGCGCGTCTACCTGGGAGGATTGGACCGACAGAAGGAACGGATGCAAAGCATCAAGCACCTGGTTCTGACCGGGTGTGGCACGTCCTTGCATGCGGCTATGTACGCGGCGAAATTGATGCGGGACTTCGAAGCCTTCCGCACCGTCATGGCAGTCGACGCGGCGGAAGTCCGGCTATCCGACCTACCCAAGCACCACGCCGGCCTCCTAGCCATTTCCCAGTCGGGGGAAACCAAGGACGTGCACCGGGCGGTGGTGCTGGCGGACCGAATGGGCCTCCCCACCATGTCGGTGGTCAACACGGTTGGCTCCCTCATCGCCCGCACCACCAAACTCGGGGTCTACCTGAACGCCGGGCGCGAGTCCTCCGTGGCCAGTACCAAGGCATTCACCACGCAGGTGACGGTGCTGACCTTGATCACGGCCTGGTTCCGGCAGGTTCGGGAAGAGGCCGGGGAGGAGGCACTCCCGGGGCGGGTGACAGAGCTTCTAGAAGCCCTGCAACGGATGCCGATCGGTTTCGGAATGGCCCGACGGACGCGGGAACAGTGCGCGGAGTTGGCCGTTCGTCTCAAGGACAAGGAGCACGTCTTCTTGTTGGGGAAAGGGTACGGGGAGCCGATCGCTTTGGAAGGGGCGTTGAAGCTCAAGGAGATGGCCTACATCCATGCCGAAGGTTACTCCGGGGGGGCCCTCAAACACGGGCCCTTCGCCCTCATAGAGGGCAAAGAGGGAAAGTTTGGCGCCACCCCCATCATTTGTCTGATCCTCGACGACGAACATGCTCAGCACATGCGCACGGCTGCCGAAGAAGTCAAAGCGCGGGGGGCGGACTTGATAGTCATCACCGACAACCCGAAATTGGCCAGAGGGCTGGTCCCTGATCCGATCATCGTCCCGAATAACGGTCCGTTAACGGCGTTGATCGCCACCTTGCCGCTGCAACTGCTTGCCTACGAATTAGCGGTTTTGCGAGGGATCAACCCTGACAAGCCTCGGAACTTGGCCAAGGCGGTGACGGTCGATTGACTCGCATACGACGGGGAGGAAGATCGCACAAGACAGGAAAAGGAAGAGTGGTTGCGAAAGCGAAGGGCGACGTGGGCCTGGGTGCAAGAACAAATGCGCTTGCGACAGGAATTGGAAGAAGGGAATACGAGGGAAATTGATTTTGTGGAAGGAGGGGAGGAGGAAGACGTGGAGGAAGGAGACGGGTACTTTACGGAGAACGACCTGGTGGAAGGGAATCAGATGCGTATGGCGGTACTGATCTAGCCCGGCCTGCGACGATTTAAACAATTCAAAGTAAATGCGAAAGAATGAGGATAGAGCGCAGTTTCAAGTGTACAGTATCCAAAAGCGGGACCATGCAGGAGGAAGATGGCGTGGCGTTTCCTTATAACCAAAATCATTTGGGCAACAGGGACGCACACCACCTCACGACTGTGTCAAGCAGGAAAGAAAGTAGACGAAGGCAGCGAATAGTTATAGAACAGGGTATGGAGAGAGAAGGTCGAAGGTAAAGGCGAGAACCCTGCGAGGGATGGCACTATCCAGCACACACATCCATCGCGAATGATCGCCCGTAAAGTCAAAGATCCTCTTAAATCATGAAGATGTGGCTACAGGAGACATCTAAGCGATACAATTGTCGCATCAAATCCAAGCAGATGTCTCGCCAAGTGAATTTAGCGGATCACTACTTTCATTTTTTATTTCTTTCTCCTCAAACCCGTGGGTCACATCCCAAGCTTCACCCAGAAGGCTCAAAACATGCCGAGGAGAAATGCAGCACCCAAATGTTGAAAAACTAACACCACTTTTGTGTGGTCAGATTTTTTTCAGTCTTTTACAAGTATACAAGCTTGCAATCCGAAGCACATGTTCTTCTCAATTGAGCTTCCTCCTCAAACTACCATTTCAGACAAATCTGGAGCAACCAGCATGCAACCATTCCCTCAATTCAATACACCAACACATCTTACGCATTTGTATCGCCGTAGCTGGATTCGTCCATCTACGTGTGTCTTCTCTCGTTTCGCACCATTCTTCACACGGGAGCCCTATCCTTACTTGCCTCGTTTTCCGCTTCGGTACTCTTCCAGCACCTGGATCTTCCCTTCCTTCACGTACTCTTCGATTTTATCACCCACGCTTTTCCCAACCCCTGTCAATTTGATGGCTACATCTTTGGATGTGATAGGTTGCTTCGCCTCACGTACTGATTTAGCTGCTTTCTGGTAACTCAGCCCCTTCTGAATCGCGTCACCGTGCAGCACGAAGTCGGCCAGCTCATATAAGGCGTCGGCCAACGGACGATTCTTTTCATTTGTAACCTTGCTCTGTGGAAAAATACGTGGGAGATGGGAACGTACTTCAGGTTCGCGTCACCTTGGCCCTTTTTGCATCAAAGCTGTCGATCACCTGGTACATACAAAACATCCCTTTTCTTGCTTTGTGTCTTCGCATGCACTTACACGTTCACTCATGTCTCCAGCTTTGGTGTGACGCTTTGTCGGAGGTACATCTTTCTCTTCTTTCGAAGGGGGGGCATTGATTCCGCGCTTAGATTTAGGAGCACGTCTGGCGGCGTCGGAGAACGGGTCTCCTTCCCCCGCCTTATTCTCCGTCACTTTATGTGTTTTTTTCAATTTCTGTTGGTAATGTGATGTACAGGAAGAAATTGTGTCTCCAAAACAATGACTTTAAGCACCAGCAAAGAAAATAAGAATTATGGAATTGTACATAACATGTAAATCCCTCCATACCTTTTCTCTTACAAATCAATCATACCTCAAGGGCGCCTTGTTTGGAATACTCGCGGTATGGGCGATCGCTCGTCGCTTCGATGGCACTTTCCACCTCCTCCTCTTTCTGCTTTTCGTCCTCAGGTAGCTCGATTCCCACTTTCTCCGCCATCACCTCCACATCGTCCTCAAGATCTTCAGGACTTTTGCCTCTTCGTGTTTTTTGTTTTGTACTTCCTTCCTTGTACCGACGTGGGGTCTTGAATTCTCTTTCAGCTTTATTTTCAGCACTCAATTTCGTATTCTGTATCACAGAATTCGTACCGCTCCTGCTTTTCCCCGGTGCCTCGGCCTTCTTCTTAGGAGAAGCTTTTTTGGCAGCACTGACCTTAGTGCTGCTATCTTTGATAGGATCTGCTGTGGTTTTACGAGCCATGTGTTCTTTTTGTCCTTCTTTGTGGTCACTATCTTGAAAGCGGTCTCCAAACGTCTCTTGCAAGTCTGCTGGTTGATCCTTCACCCACGCCACAAGAGTTGGGGCGTACAAACGGGATTGCGGAAAAAGAGTGCGCAGCCTGTTTGTGCCGATGAGTCTGAAGGTGCTACAAAAGTAGGCCGAGTGTATAAGAAATATACTGCTCAAACGTAGTATGCCTTTGTGCATATAAGGCCCCCTGTAGTCGGGTATATATAAGCTATGACTATATGGCCCTTAAAATCAGAGCGACAGTAATTAGGTCGCCCTTTACGTGTCATCTCAGACCATCTCACCATGCATGAGCTGCGCAATCAAAAACAAGTTTCAAGTCTGTCATATCTCATGATGTTACCAAAGAAAGCAGGAACTACCTCAAGAAAAATCTGGGAGCTCGCGTCGGGACCACATCTTAGGGAACGTTCGTCTTCGAGGCCAGCAGTTAATTACCCCGCCTCAGGAAAATATTCGGTCTTATTCCGTCGTAAGGATCCCTGACAACGGACAGACTCAGATCAGAATCCGCGGGGACCCTTGAAGAACGGAAAGGGTGTTTTTTTTCCACATATATCATCGGGTCATTTGTTGTGTGAAGGATTGTATGCGCTTTTTTGGTGATGTGCGATTCTCATCGTGGACAAAATATTTGCGCCGACGAGGGCCTCAAGTTAGGAGTCCCCGGGTAGTGTTGGGGTAGAGAGCTCGCTTTGTAAGATGCTTCTTGAAATGGGGATCCATGAAAGAATAATATTACTCTCAAGCTTGACATATCCTATGCTGATATAACATAGGACTATGTACTCGATAAAATGGAGTGGTCCTCGGCACGTTTGCCGTTTGAGTGCGTTGCGTAGGCGCCTGCGCACGCAGGAATCGGACTGGATATATTATTACGATGGATACCTCGACTCAATCACTATTCCAGCCGCCGAGCATGTGGTTGTCCTTCTATTCCCTGGTCCCGAGAAGACGGGGAAAGCTCGAAACGATCTTCGAGAAAAAGTTAATATGGCAACTTCCGACGTTGTGCGAGCTATGCTCAGAATTTTATACGATGAACACTTCGAGTGTTTTCGGAAGTCGGTCACAATTATGTATCCTTTAGTTGTTAGACTGCCAGAACTTCATCCATCATCAGACAAATACCTTCCTGCAATTATATTTGGTATTCTCTTCGCAAACAACATGATCACATCTGAAGACCTACGCCAGCTCTCGAGAATTGCAAGGATATTGGGATCGCCACTCCATGGATTACGACTATATTGCGATGCCTCCATCGAAGGATTGCAGGATGTCAAGGGTGTATTAAATTTCCGGAGGAGTATCACATTTTGGGGGTCAGCCCTATCAATCAACCTATGCCAACTGAGGTAAGCTTTATTTCCATGCACAGCATGTGTACCGGTCGAGATGAAATGACGATTTTCACGGGCTTACTTTCGCATCGATTGCAGCCTATGGGTGTTTTTTAAAATATTGTTCATCGATACCATGTTTCTTTCACAGAAGTCTGACTTGACATGGTGGAATAGTTCGTGCTTTTCACAATTGCCCCTCCCTCTCACAGTTTGCTGGTTGGTTGGCGATGTACCACGGATTTCGGAGTACTCTACAACTACCCCTAGCCCTTAAAGGATTTTTATTCATTTGTGACCTTTCTGACAACAAATCACAACCTCCGGTAAGTAGGGAAGCTCTCTCTGAGAAAGTGACGGCGTACAGCGGAATAGCCTGCTCTTCTAACGAATCTAACAGATCGATTTCCCTTCAATGCATGCAACAAAATTGTTCTTCCCAACGTGGGCACGTTGGTTCTACGTTCCATGTATAAAAGGACTTCGTGGAATCCCTTATTACGGCCGTTTGTAGTTTTGTTCGTATACATGTGGCAAACCCGACTAGTGTTACAATTACATATCCAATGCTGGTGCCGCTCAAGTATCCGTATCATACGAATATGTTCGAGGCCTTGGAAACTGCTTTCTACTGCTTTTGGCGTAAAACTGCAACAATAGGTTTTCGGACATTCGTCACCAACTTTGAAGACGAGTTAAAAGAACAAGATGAGAGTGTCAAGATCGGGGGGGGGCTTCAATGGGATCACAGAGAAGTCGAGAGCATGGAAATACAACATGAATGCCTGCACGAATCTACAAGGATGCGACAACAGCAATCTCTGGAACAGCTTCCATGGGTAAAAGAACGAGGGAAGACCGAAAATCACAAGTTCAGGACATCTGAGTATCCGCCAGTTTTCTCGTCGTATAACAGGCTGTCAGAAAGACAACTGGAGAGAAAGCCTACTCCCCTTGATGCAGACATTTTGACTTTTGTCGACACGCTTAATCACGAGAGGAATGAAGCTGTCTCCACATCATTCCTCGCATTGCCAGTGACCGACCACATGCTTTCTTGGAGCTCGAGGTCCAGTGCAGAGGAGAACATACTTCCAAGACCCCGAAAAATGCGCGAACCAATTTCCGACAATAGCATGCGGAAACGCGAGTCGAAAGCACTTTGTTTATCGTCTATGAATATGGTTGATGATAATGTCGCGCGGTTGACTGAACGGACAATATCCGAGCCGTCCTCAGCTGTGGCGTCCATAAGACAATCAGTCAGTGACTTACCCACGTCCGCAGTACCAGCGTTATCAGCAGAATTAAAAACAGACTTAGCGACATTTCAGGTAGAACCCTTTATGCGTGCTTGGGGACCTTTGGACAAGAAAAAGTGGGAAAACCCCTTGAGTTCGAATAACTGCAACGCTATCGAAGTGTATGGTTGTGAGATGAACTCAGACCAAACAGTCGACAATGCTTCTTCTTCTGCTGTGACAAGCATAAGGAAGAGCAACCTATGTTTTGACATTAATGCAGACTGTTGCAGATGTATCGGGTATCAACGTCTCTGCGGGGAGGAGATAAATCCTGTCTCTACTCACATACCTGACCCACGTATAGATTATGCGAAGGATCCAGTATCTGCCGATGGTGAGTATCTTTGACTTCTTCCCCTTCTTAAAGGTTTTACTTCGCAACACTAGGCCCATTTAGTATCTCCTTCCTTTTCTTCCACCACAGTTGCGACGTTATCACCATCGACGGTTGTAAAAGGTGTAATGCAGATGCGAGAAAGGAGATCCCTTGATAAAATCAATGCTCCGAAAACCTTGCCGCTTTCTTTCTTCTCGTGCCTTCCAGCCGAGTCTTGCCCTTACTCGATCTTACCATCAAGCACATGGGACCTGGAGCCATCCAAAGAAGAGAGCGGAGCGGAGAATGAAGATGAAGTGAAGAGCAAGAAAATGGTTGGTCGCAGAAGGGATGTCTGCGGAAAGGGATCATTTGCGTCTTTTCATAGCGATACAGCTACCAACAAGATGAAAAAATGAATGGAAAATGAAGGGGTGGAGTGGAGTTGATGTACAGGAAGTTAAACCGAAAGAGATGGAAGGGCAGGGGCTGGCGAACATGCTCGAGTTTTCCAAGCCACAAAAATTGAGGTTTGTACCTTTAGGATTTTGATAGGAAAATTGCATATGTGCACATGTAGTATCTGACCGTCAGCTATGAATGCTATAATTCAGACAAAGTGCGTCAAAGACATGCTGCCAATCATTCACAATTTTCTCTCCAAACATCTTTGCCGTGATAAGAGAGATAAGTCCGTCTTCTGAGATGGGGCGAGACAATAACGAGAAAGTATATCAATTTCGATACTGGAAAGAAATCCAAGCCGTGAAGGTACATAGGGAGGCATGCACTCAAAAGAAGGCAAAGTTGTAAAGTCATGAAGACTCATAAGTCCTTACGAACTCCATCCCAGAGAATGTGCAGAAATAAATTTGAGGATCTGGACCAGACGAGCTTGACCGTGCACAAAGACCCGCCAAACGATTGCAGCCATCAGCCAGCTATACAGGATCCTCCTTCGCCATCAAATTCTCCCTCGTCTTCGGGTTCGTCCGCCTTGTCGGCGGGGGGGGGTACAAAGCTATCTCAAGCTCAAAGTGGAACACGGACACGGATTAAGGAGCTTGAAGAGGAAATTGCATATTGGCATCAGGCTTTCATCGATTTGTCCGTGACTAATAATGCGCTCCTGTCAGGTATAGTGGCGGATGCGGGCAATGAAATGAAATAAATATCTTTACATTTTTTCCTTACGGTATGACATTTGACTCATTCCTTCTTCCCAATCTGCATCTGATATTTTGCAGTATTCTGATGCCCTCTTGTGTTACCCCATCCCCGCTCTTCGACTCTTATATATTGGTACTTTTCTCATGTGGGACCCTCATACCTTCGGTTTTTACACCCGTGGGGCCTTTTGGATGGAAATTTAGTTGTACTTGAAGTTCTTGATTGTCTTTTCCTTATGAACCATTATTTCTTTCCCCCTCCCTCTGTACCACTCTTTTCTATCACCTCACATGTTTTTGGGCAGAATTAAATGAGGCCAAGCATATTTTGGTCGAGGCTGGCACTGCTGAACTCTCCGACATCATCCCTGTCCATGTTTTTTGCGAAGCGACTTACGAGGAAGTGGAGAAGGCCCTCATTAAAGATGTGCGCCTCCCTCAGTTGATTTCCAGCCCTAAGGGTGGTAAGAATGTTGACAATAACACGTCAAGTATAACAACGACTGACGCCGTCACCACTCGCAGTAGGAAAAGAGCGGCAAGCAGAAAGAAGGGGAAACAAATTTGCAGGAGTGCTCTCGTGTATCGAGCACTAGATGCAGTGGATTCACTTGTAAGAGACGCAACATTTGATCCCTTTCATCGGCAGCACGGTCGAATTATTGGGACAAATCACTCCCACAAGCTGCTTCTATCTCTATGCGAAGAGTGGGGCCCTGCCATGGCGGACTTGGTGGTCTTGAAGAAGGAAGAAATTGAAAAATTTTGTCCCTCTGGGCATTATCCAACACCGGTCTTGTGGAAGGAAGGAAAAGAGGTTACGATAGGTGCTGTAGTACGTCGCATGGTAGAAGTCTTGAGGGAGACACGAAATACGAAAGACAGAGATAAAGTAAGAAAGAGAGAGAGGGAGCAAGAGTGAAGGAGGACAACAGTAAACGAGGAGCTCTCTTAGATGGGGCCTTCGTCATGTGGAAATAGGAAATGCAAGTCAAGGTAAATACTGGGAACATATCGCGAGTGAAGGCGGAGAACAGGCAAGAAAAGAGCGGCCTTTGTCAGATGCAAGGCGGCAATGACAGGTCAAAGAGAGATCTGCAGGATTGTGGTGGAAAACAAAAGTACTGTTTCGTGGGTCGGAAAAAGGGGCAAACAGCCGTTATCGAACGGATGAGCAAGGCATCTACCTTGTTTTCCCGACGAGTCTTCTTTAATATACCACTGCAGTCCCTTAACCGTTTCGCGCGCTTTTACGCTAGTCTCATACGGGAGATCTCGTCGAGTCCGCTCCTCGACTCGGCGGTTTCCCGCAGATATGCAAATACTCTACCACGACTATAAGATGAAGCCCCTTTTCCCCGAAACAGCGCGAACCACCGCACAAGCGCGTGCTTCCCTCGCACTTTTTCTAGGACTTTCACCATCCTTCTGTCCCTCCTTTCTTCATTATTTCTTTCCTGCCAGGACCACCTCATCACATTCGAAATCTGGTTCATGTGTCCTTAAGGCATAATCTTGGTCGAAAGAGTCTTGCCACCCCTCCGTATTCCCGTAGGCCGGCGTCCAATCCAGATCTCGCATGGCTTTTTCCACGCTCGTAAAAAAATGTTGAGGCCGCATCGGGAATGCCTTTTTCTTGCCGAAATCATACTCCTTGGGGTCATAATGAACGATTTCCACGCTCTCCGGATCTTTCCCAGCGGCCTTGGCGGCCAGTCGCACGGCACCGTCGAAGGTAATGGCTTGCGGGTGCTGGACATTGTAGACCTGCCCTTTGGCCTGCTCCCGCCCGATCACTTGCGCCATCGCCGTGGCCAGATCTTTGACATGGCCCAAGCCCGTCAAGTGCTGCCCATGCCCTGGAACGGCCACCGCTCTCCCGGCCACGACACGATGAAAGAAGTATTCCTCGAGAGGGTTGTAGTTTTGAGGACCGTAAATGTAGGTGGGCCGAATAGACGTGAAAGGAAGGCCTTTTTCCGCCAAATACGTTTCGGTTTCGAATTTCCCTTTGTGTCGGGACTTGGGGTCGACGGGGTCGGTCTCCTTGTGAGGCATCAAGTCGCTTTTCAAGTAGACGCCTGCCGAAGACATGTAGACGAAATGGTCCACTCTGCCATTATACGCGTCGGCCAATGGCTGCGTGTCCGTTTTCTCTCTCCCGTTCATGTCGTATATGACGTCAAATTCATGCGCCTTGGCGAGTGCAGCGAGGTCATCGGGATTGGTGCGATCCCCCTTCACAAACGTGGCTTGACCGATCCGCTCTGCATATGACTCGGCGCTCTCTCCTGGAACCGGGCGGTTCGCTGTCTTACCCCTGTTGAAAAGCGTGATGTCGTAGCCCTGCGTAGACCGTGATCATGATGAAGACGCTTAGAATGGTAGACATGGGGATGAAAAATTTTCACAACAGAGAGGGCATATCAGACTACAGAGACGAGTAAGCTGGCATATGGCGTGGAGGAACTTAATGCAAAGGGCTCGTACCCGGTCATGGAGTTCTTTGAAGAGGTATAAGCCACTGAAACGTGTCCCTCCAATGATAAGGACCTTCTTTCCAGCACCAGGAGCTTTCATCGTCATTGGGATCTGGGGGGGGGGAGGTAGAGCAAGGGATCAAACGGCCACATCGGGACTAACGCAAGAGGCATGAAAATTACAAATAGCTCACGTACCTGGAAACCCAACGCTCCAGCCATCAATGCTAACAGGGCCAGTGCGTGGATGTGCGCGCGCATCGTAGCAGCACTTTCTTGTAACCGGGTTTCGACGTGGTCAAACTACCTGGTATGCATTTGCGGAACAAAGACAGGGTTGTGTATTACGTCCCTCACAACTCCACAGAATCGCATCAAAATTTATAAAAATGACGACAAGCTCTTATTCAGCACCTGTTAAAACCCCACACAAGCATGCAGGTCACATGTGAGCGACACTATCACGCAACTCTGTTGCCATTATGCAGGGATCAGCCTCGGATCGGTGGGCCGAGGTCCCTTTTCCATCATATCGCCGAAAGCTTTCCATTCCCATTGCAGCCCCCCACTTGCCCTGCCTTTTTCCATGTCTTTAAGAACGTGAGGGGCCACGGGACAAAAATCATAGGACACGCACAGCCGTAGAGAGCTCCTTTGCCCTCTAACATGTCGTTTTCAATATACCTCGGGTCGTCATGTGTTATTTCTATGTACATTTATCTCCTTCCCCCGTCCCGACCTCATTCTTATCAAGACACTTGTCATGACATACATCGTTTAGGCTCGAGCGCATGGGCGGATGGGACATGAATGGCAGGAAATGTGAAGGAGAAAGATGGAGGGATGACAATGTTGACGACATCTTGCTGAATTCTTCTTGGAGCACACCCGTTCCTCTAGGTGCTGCGCCTTGGGGTATCGCACACACAGGCATGCACCAGGCCTTCGACCCCGGGAAGGCCGAGGTCTTTTCCGCTTCAAAAGCCCAAATTTGTGATATTGATGACCGCAGTAGCAACTTGCACAGTCATAAAGGTGCGGCCTTCCACTGGGACGATGACCACGACTCCCTCTCTCGTCGCCTGAGCCTTCTTCTCCTCGAGTTCGACCGCGTATGTGACCTTCCCAGTGGTACCTGTGACGTTCCTTTTGGAACGACCCCTGCTTTAGAAGCACGTGACACGCTGGTGTCGGCTTCTCCAGGTTGTTCGGACGCTGTCGCGATGCCTCCTGCTGACCCGCGCAGGTCGCCTACCGTCATGTCCGAGGCCCTTGCTGCCGAGTTGGTGGGCGTCATGTCTCAATGCTGTGCCCGCCTGCAAGACGATGAGGGCAACGGGGAGGACGGGGAAGGCAGGAAGGACGACGTTTTGCGGGCATGCGTCTGGATTCCTTGCCTCCCCCCCCCGCGCAACTCGCGTGACGTCCCCCCCCAAGGAGGCTTTCCTTTACGGCAAGAGCATCGCGAGGAGAGGCCAAGCGAGCAATTTTTCACGATGATCTGCCGGCTCATGGGTCGGAGGGATGCTCCTGTCGGGTTGGTGCGCCAGTTTTGTCGCCACGCGGTCTTACCCCGCTTGCTTCGTCTTCAGGTGAGCCCGGCGCGTCCCTCGGACAGTCAGCTTGCCTGCACAGACGTTCGTATCATTGCTTTTGTTGTCTTCCTTGTGTCTTTTGGCCTCCCTTTTCCCAAAGAGTGCTCCTGAGGGGTCGATTTGTTCCTTCCTTGCCCCCCTCCTCGGCCGCCCGGTCCCAGATCATTCTTCATCGACCGCCGCGCCTCGCTCTCTTTTCACCTGACTTTCTTGGTGATATCCCAACTCGCTCCTCTCTCCCTCTCACCCATTCCTTTCTTTCATTCACCTTCCCTCTCCCCCTGCCTCCCTTTCTCTGGCCTGCCCAGGGAGCCGCCTCGCGTTCGCTCATCGATGCCCTCGCACGCCTAGCCTCCCTCCGTCCCTCCCTTGTCCTCACCCACGTCCTCGTCCCCCTCCTCTGCCAGCCGGCGGGGTCCCTGGGCTCCGTGCAATGCGAGGCGGTCGCTCGGGTGATCAAGCAGGGATGTTTTGGAATGGGGGAGGAAGGAAGTGGGGGCTTTGGTGGGAGGAGAGGCGTGTACCTGGAGAAGTTGCTCCGAGGGTTGTGTGGTTGGGACTTGTCGCTGAATCTCGGCGATGAACGTGGGAACGGTGCGCAGGAGAGAAAAAGTCCAGAGGTCGTGGAGGGGGAGGAGAGCCGTGGTCTGGAAGGGAATGAGAAGGAAGGGAGGAGTGAGAAGAGAAGAGGGGGCGGCGGGTTGGAGCATGGGAGGGCGATGCTTTACCCTGTGTGTGAGTGGACAGATGTAACACTGCCGGTGCTGACGGCGGTTCTGGGCCAGCGCCCCACTTTGTCAGATGAGACCGTACTGGTTGTACTGGAGCGACTACGGGCTGCATTGGAGGTGGGTGTTGCGGACCAGGGGGGGCGGCAGGGTCACAGGTGTGCTCAGCGGGAACACAGAGACTTCGATGGTCTTCAGAAGGCAGGAGCATAGCTGCATAGGGGAAGAGAGATACTGTATTGATTAGATTTTATGCCTTTCCACACATGTATATGTGGTGATTGGGAGGATTTCGGTCCATGCAAATGCTCATGCATCCTTGCAACCTTTTCCCACATGCTTTTTATTTTTTACTCTTGACATCAGGGCGGCGGTGATCTGATGCATTCTTTCAAGCTCGCTGCATTAATAAATGCGCTTCAAAGTAAGTACGGCCCTCAAATGCAACTTTTTCCCACCGTGATGCGTCACATTATCTCAATATGTGAGGAGGGGGAGGGAAGGGACGGTGCAAAAGGGGGCTGCAGCAACAGTTGGAGCAAGAATCACAAAAATGGCGGTGGGGCAACATTGATACGCAACACCCTACGTAAAGTTATCCTGTCAATATCCGAATAAAAACTCAAAACTTGAAAATGTGAATTGGAAAAATGTGCAGTTGGAGTAGGATAAATCAATTTTTCCGTGATGTTCACAACAAAGAGTAGCCTTGTTTACCTTTAATTTTTCGTAGGATAACGTGGTCAATTTTCAGTATCGGTCACAAGATAAAATGAGGCAACAAATGGAAATGAAATGACGCCCATTGTACCGGGAAATACGCGTGACGTAATTTTTTCCAGGGTGGTCAACTTTCTCAGCCCGTCGATAACCTCCCCACCCAGTGCTTGGACGCAGTGGACCCTCGCACTGGCGTTCACTTCCACTTGCTACGACATTGTCTTCCGTTCTTGAGCACTTCCTTCCCGTGTAGTGTTTGATACCTATGAATTTCCTGTTTATCATGGCTTAGGCCTTGTTATTTTCGCTCACAACCATTCTTTCAGCTCTGCCTGGTTGCGTTTTCCTCGCTTTGCCTGGTTGAGGTCACACATGAAGTTTGAACATCGTTCAGCAGTATTCCGGAATTTTTCTTCACATAAATGACACTGCATATCATGTGTCAACACATGACACAGCTACAGGTGGCAGGAGGGAGCCGGGGGATCGAAAGTCTGGAGAGATGTGCTGATGGTACTAAATGGAGGTCTCGTCTCGACCCGTCGCCCGTCATTTGCTCTTTTGCTTCTTCCTTTCCGCTCTCCTTCTCCACATACAACTGCCCACTGCGACCACCACGACAAATATCATGCTTTCATGTGCCGTGCGTAAGCATGTCCCGCATATTTCTGGATTTCGCACTCGGTTATGCTTTGCGCCGTGGCGACTCCGAGAGACCGCAACTTCCACCTCCCACCGTCGTCCGTCCTCCTCCCTGGACCGAGTAGCGCCATCCCACGTTCTAAGAGTATCAAGCAGGAGCAGCAGTAGTAGTAATAGTAATGAGCAGGCTAGGAAAGGGCCGGGGAGATCGAAAGCCACATCGAAATCTCCGCCTCGAGGCGCGAAACGTGGTGGGAAAAGTAGCCGCTCCTTGTCCAGTGCATCTTCCTCCATGGCGTCCCCGGAAAACGAGAGGGCCGTGGCCGACATCATCGGGAAAAGGACGGAGGCCGGGAAGAAGGCGGGCGGCCTGGAGGGGTCGCTGGTCCGGGAGAGGGATATGTTGATCTCAGAGGACGCGGGTAGAATGGCGCCCCGGGAGGAGGAAAAGGCCGAGAACGATGACGCAAGCGACGGCGGGAAGAGCCAGCATGGCAGCAATCAATCACTACCTCTCCTTCTTTTACCATCTTCTCCCCCCTCGCCTTTCACCAGTCCCTCCCCTCCTCCCTCCTCCCCTTTCGATCTGCCCGACGACCACCTCGCTGGTCACCTTCAACGCCTCTACGCCGGCAGCCAACCGCCTTCCCCTTCCTCCTCTCTGGGCCCTGATACCTTGCATCCCTACTGGTTGAAGCGCTTGTCGATGCTTCAACGTCCGGCGGCGCGGGCGCTGGTGTCGCAGATCCTCCCCACGAACCCTTTGGGCTTCGATGCCGGCCCCACTCTGTCCCAGCGGCGCGGCACTCTCTACGACTTTGTGCTCACGCAAAAAAAAGCCCACCCTGAAAAAGTGATCTTGACCCGGGTGGGTGAATTCTACGAGACCTACGGCGTGGATGCTATCATGCTGGTCGAATACGCAGGTCCGTCCCACAGGCCCCCCCCTCTCGGTCCTATTCTTGCTATACGACACCCGTTGCCATGTTTTGCATGTCACTGGCCGTGGCGTTGTACCACCCGTTATTCTTCGTCTTTATCTCTTTGTCTCTTCCGGACCCTCACGCTCCACCTTCCCCCCCTCCGGGTCCTCCCTCCAGGGCTCAACCCCATGGGGAACAAGGCCAAGGCGGGCTGCCCCGTCAAGAACGTGCAGGCGACCCTCGATGGCCTCACGTCCGCGGGCCTCACTGTCGCTGTGATAGAGGTACGCATGCCTCTTTTCCCCCCTCTTTTCCCTCTTCCTCCAACTTTTGCTTCTTTTTGTCTGCTGTCGTGCCTGCCTCCTGCTTGACTCCTGTCCCATGCCCGTGGGACCGCACCACGGAGCGCTCGGGCCAATGTCTTCTTTCCAACCCAACCGATCGTAATCCCCCCAACATCTCTTGTGCACGCGGCTTGTAGGAAATAAGCGATTTGGATTCCGCTTCCCCCCGAACCAGCAAGCTCAAAAGTCGCCTGCTCTCCCAAATCGTCTCCCCGGGCGCTTCAACTTACCTGTATGACTGCTGTCTACGACCCGACGACGTCGAATACCCCGAGAACCGGCCTTTTCTGGGTTTATTGAACCTGCCCAGCAACGGTTACACCCTGGTGGAAGTGCACGTGGACGCACAGACGGCGCGTATCACTGAGGGCCTGACGGAGGAAGGGGTCAAAATGATGCTGCTGGCGGGGGGAATGGCGGAACCCCTCTACACCCAGGCCGTGAACAGGGGCCTTCTGCGCGTCCTGCTTCCCGGGGGCGGGGAAGTGGAACGGCGAGAGCTCTTCGGACATGTTGATTCTCGCTCCTTCTACCAGGCCCTCGTTCAGGCCCTCGGTCGGGACCTGGAAATCGAGGCACTGGCGGATCAGGTCCACGTCCGCGTGGCCCCGCCCTTGCATTCCCGCCCTCGGCCGATCCCCCTCGCCACGGCCTTGCAGATCGGCTTGGTGGCCAATCCGGCCGTCCCGGACCTGGTTCCCCACCTCCTCCCCGCCCACGCCCTGCCCCTCCTCCGTGTCCACTCCTCCCGTTTCCTCCGCCGCTGGCTTCTCACACCACCTCCCTACCACCTGGCCGACGCCATGCAAGCCCTCTGCCGGCACCTCGCCCGGCCCCCTCCCTCTAGCCCGGCCTCCCCCACGTCTTCTACCCCTTCTTCCACACCCGTCGTAGGCGCGGCTCCACCCCTCTGCAAACCCGTCGGCGTCGGGAAGATGGTCGCGATGTTGAGCATGGGCCAGGGAAACGTCCCCCTCTTCCGCGATTTGGCCGGGTGTTTGCAGGGTCTATTGGTGGTGTTGGGGGAAGGCGGGAAGGAGGAAGGGGGCACTTCCGTCTTTCGGGAGGTACTGCCAAGTTTGCGGGCCATTGTGGCGTATGAGAGTGGGATGGAAGTTGCGGAAGAGGAGTTGCGCGTGCGGGGAAAGGCAGCCCTGGCGGCGATTGAAGATGTGGTCATTCCGGCCACGGTGGAGGATTTGCCCTCCCTCCCGTCCTCCTTCGCGTCCTCTACCTCGACCTTGTCTTCGTCGCCTTTGCCTATGACTGCGTTGCAAGGAGCGACTGACGGACACGACGTCGACGCAAATCGTGGGGAGACGCTCGAGCCATCCATTAAATCAACGGTCGCGACCGTGCCCGCTGTTTTTTTCGAGCGGAACGAAGAAACCTTCCGCAATACCGTCCGGCCCACCCACCCCTTGGTTCTCGAGCCATTTGCTCGGGTGAAAGAATCAGCTGCTGCCTTGTGTCGGGCGGTCGCCCAAGACTTCGACCCGGGCGCCGACGTGACAGTGGACCCTCTGAACAATGCCGTGATGATGAAAAAAATACCCGCTCCCTCCTTCCGCTCTCCCCTTTCTCCTCGCGGCCCCTCGCCCACCGCCACCTCAACCGAGACCAGCACTGGCTATATCCACCCCACGGACCGGCACCGAAAACCGTTATCGAGCCGTTACACAACCGTTCGAGTCGAAACCGCCCTGAACGACTACCTGCAGGCCTGCGGACAGGCGACAGTGGCGGTGCGACGAGCCCTCCAGTCCCTTTCCTCCACCCTTCGGTCCGATCTGCCCACTTTGATCACAGCCACCCATATGGCTGTAGTCCTTCAAGCCGCGGCCGCCCACGTGGCAGCCGCGAAGCAAAAGGGATGGACGCTGCCCACATTGCTCTCCTTTTCGGACAGCGACTGCGATGGGAAAGAAGGCGACCGAGGGCTTTCTCCCTCCACCCCTGCCGTCACCCCGGCCTCTCATCCCTTGGGCCCGCCCTCCCGCCCGTCCTGGCGCATGAGGCTTCCCAACCTCACGCCCTACTGGCTGAGTCGAAACAGTGGGGGTGTGAGCAGTAGCGTCGACTTGGATGGCCTATTCCTGTTGACAGCGCCGAACATGAGCGGAAAGAGCACCCTGATGCGTTCTATCGCCGTGGCTGCTCTCTTGGGGAATGCCGGCCTTTTCGTTCCCTGTATGACCGGCAAGGAAGGGTTCGAGGACGTGAGGGAGGGCGGGGGGCAGGGCGGGTTGTGTGGAAAACGAAGGAAGTTTCAAGAAGGCGGGCCGGGTGCGGGAAGGAAGAGCGTTGTGATTCCACGCTTCGACCATCTCTTCTTGCGCACGGCCAGCTACGACGTTCCTTCGGAAGGAAAGTCGGCGTTTGCCTTGGAAATGGATGACGTGCGCGTTTTGTTGCGGGACAGCACGTCTCGGTCGCTGGTCTTCCTGGACGAGTTGGGGAAAGGTACCTCGGCGAGGGAGGGAGCCGCCTTGTCCGGAGCCTTGATCGAAGCGTTGGACGCTGTGCCAGTGACAGGTAGGCTGTGAATGGGTGCAATTGGATAAGAGGATTAAATCTTGGATAATGTGGTGGTATGACTCCGGAGTTTCAACGCGGCGGGAGGGCGCTCGACGGTGACTGGCTTCCCTGATCTATTCTCACTCTTTTTCCTGGCCAATTAATGTTTGTTTCCACCTGGCATCAGGGATATTTGCTACCCATTTGCACGAAATCTTCGACCTGCCGTTGCAGACCAGTGATCGCGTCCGCTGGAAGAGGATGGGGTTCGAGGAAGACGTGGTGGAGGGCGGGGAGGAGGGGCCGCAGGAGAGGCGCGTGAGGTGGACGTACCAGCTGGAAGATGGTCGGTGCTTGGACTCCATGGCCTGGTACACCGCTCGAAAATTTGGGATTCCGGAGACGATCCTGGCCAGAGCCCAGGTCCTGGGGAAGGAATTCGACGCATCGTGTCGGGGGCGAGGAGACAGCAAGGAAGACGGGAAGGGGGGGGGCTGGCGGGACTCGAGGGGGGGGCTTGGAGAAGGGATTGGGCGTGGGGAAGACAAGATGAGAGAGGCAGGATGCGAGCTTGATAGGACTTGGGTCGAGGAGTCGATGACATTGGAGGGCGCAGCCGAAGTCTTGGCCTCCATTTTTCGCGGGTACCACAGCTCCTCCTCCAACTCCCTCCCTCCCTCTCTCCCGCCCTCCCTCCCGCCCTTTCTACGCGTCCCTCCCGGCAACGAGCCGTCTCCGTCATTGGAAGGCAGCGCTTGTCTCTACGTCCTCCTCTACCCTCCCCCTTCCTCCGCCCTCCTCACTCCCCCCTCCTTCTACGTGGGTGAGACGGAAAGCGCCCGCCAACGGCTCGCCCAACACCGGGCCACGCACAAAAAGAAGTCTCGAATACCGGAGTCCGACTTGGAGGCGTTGTTCGTTCCTGTGGCTTCCAAGACAGAGGCTCGGAACCTGGAGGCCCTCGTCATCAATGCCTTGGCCAGGCGGGGGTTCCCCCTGTCGTCGGAGGCAGATGGACGGAGGGCGGTGGGGAAGTGAGGAGGGCAGAGCGGGGATCAGGGAAAGGCCCTAAATTTAGAGAGATGTGTGTACAAAAAAAAGCGAGAGAAACGGAAAGTAGGTGTATGCGTAGGGGAGTGCGGGGACGTGGGGTTAGCGGGCGTCCGGAGGGCATTCACAGCAAGAAGCACAAGTGCGAGTAAAATGCGGTGACAGAGCACCAGGCGCGGCCCAGACTGCATGCGGTCATCCTTGTGCTTCTTTCCCGAGCGTTCACTTCCTGTTCTTCGTCATTCTTTCCAGTATCCATCTCCCGCGATCTAGGTTATATCGTAGCATCATCACCGGTCCTATGCCTCCCCCGCTCCCTCTTCGTGATCACCCTCCCACACACAAGAGGCGACGGCTCACCTCTCGCCACACAGAGAATGCAAAACATATGTCACGAAATACACCATCTTCCCCTTTCCGATATCCAGAAGAGGGAGGAGGATCCGGCTCGCCCCCCCCTCCTCGTCCCTTATTTCCGCTCCTTTTCCCAAGGCGTTGACGACTTACTGGGCCACACGTCCGTAAAAGATCCCCTTCATCAGAAGCTTCTTGGGCGCCTTGGAGCCCATGTCCGTGTCGGAAAACTGGGTGGATACGAAAACCCCGCCCACCTCGCCTTCCTCCACGTTCACCTTGTTCACCTCCAGCTCGATGTTCCCACTCGTCACGTCGAAGATCTTGTTGTTCTCCTGCCATGCGGCCGTACAGGAGGAAAACAGGGAGGGAAGGAGGGAGGGGAAAAGGAAAGGTGTGAAGGAACTGGAAAGAGGACGGTAGGATGCACGCTCCTTATACTTGATTCGAGACCGAGTACGCACTCTCCCGGCGGGAATACCCCAATAGTTCTCACAGATAGAACCTCCCACCCCCAGAGTGGGGGCACCACGCCCTACTCGACAAACAGCTTGTCTTTTCACTGCCTAGGCCAGGACGCACCTTGAAGAGCTCCTCGTCACCCTCGACCGAGTTCTGCAGACCAGGGAGGGCGACGGCCATGTCGTAGCCCGTCACCGCGCCTCGTCCCTTGGGGTCCAAGAAGAGACCAGAGCGGTAGGAGGGGACCTACACGAATGAATGGGTTTCGGGAGGGAAGAAGAAAGGGTGAGTGACGGGCGCAACACCCGGCGATGGCGACATGGGACGTAGGAAGGGGAGCAGAGGAAGTGGAGCGGGGGGGCAAAAGAGGGGAGGACATGACCAGGGGCTTGGACGATGCTGTGCCTCCTACCCATTCCTCCCAAACACCCACCAACACCACAACGTTATGCATAAAACAACTTGAGACATTTCCTGGACAGCTCTCCTAGCATCGAAAAGATTCCCTCACCTTGAAAGAGCCGCCAAATTGGAAGCCGGGCTTGAGGGCGTTCCCTGGCTGCGCAGCCGTGGCCACCAGCTCCTTGACCGTGAAAAGGAAAGGCACACGCTCGCCTCCCGGAAGTTGGACAGTGGTGGCAGCATAGTCGATGCCGTCCTTCTCCTCAAACTTGATCTTCCCGCCCTCCCCGACGGAGATATCCCCCGACACACCGTCGAGAGAGTAAGTCTGGCGGGTCATCAGCTTCGTGTTCACAAAGCTCTTGGTCGTCTCCCCCCGCTTGTTGGTCACCTCCTCCTCGACTTGCCAGGTCTTGGGCTCCAGGCACAAGTCGCTGAGCTGGTACGTCTTCCCACCTTGCAGGGCAATGCTGCCTTCCCCCACCACCTCGGGGCATCGATTCGCGAGCCCGGTGCCCTTCACCTGTGTAGACATGAAAAGTGAGGATTCAATATAATTAAAGGGACGCAGGATGGAGCTCAAAACTTGTCTAGAAAGAAGGAGCGAGAGAGAGAAAAAAGGGAGATCGTCTTGTCGTTTCACCTCTAGGAAAATACCCAAGAAAGGGAGCATGCATTCGTCAACGCCCCTCCCAAAACGAAGGACTGCGTACCTGGAGGTAGGAGAGGGAGGAAAGATCCTCCTTCGTCAAGGCGTTGGAAATGGAGGGGGCCAGGAAGGCTGATCCGCCCACAAGGACGGGGAGGGCCTTGGAGACGCCGTTCTTGAGCTGATCCAGGAAAGAGGCTGTGTCGTAAAGATGGACAAGAATGGACGAAAACGGTCACCATCAGAGAGGATGTGCTGCCTTTATTGTGCTTGAAGATAAACCTCTCTTCTTCACGGTCGACATAAGAGGCGTTTTGAAGGGGAGATCTCGGGAGGCTACCAGATCTTTTCGGCATAAGCGCCCCCGTACCCACGATTTAAAGACGATGACAAGCACAAAATCGCCACGACGTACGTCCTAACTCTAAACGGGGCGAATTCCTTCTTGGGAGGTAACGATCACTTACGCTGTACGTTCATCTGAGGGACGAATGCCTGAGCGCACCCGACGGAAGCAAGAAGGACAGCGGTCTTCATGGTTTTAGTGAGAAGATGACTAGGAATGGAAAGGCGACTGTAACAATGGTAAAAATGTTGTATGAAAATTGTCATGTGAGAATTGACACATATTTGCGACGTAAACAGAGATGTGTCTTGAATGCAGAAGCTCTCAGAAGGGTGGAGAGTGCATGATACCAGCCCTCTTCAAGACAATCCACAACTTCACAAAATGCCACAGTCTGTTAAGTAAGTACAAGCCACAAAATTTCTTATTCATCTGAGTGTACGAAGACAGGGTGTATAACACCAAGGCCTGCAGTAAAGGTAAACACCCGCGCTCGCTTCCCTTCCACAAGGCAACAGGAGGGGAAGGATTGCTCCTAATCCTCCACTCATCATGACCACCCACGCAAACCCATCAACCCAACCAACATCAACTATTTGACGATATACCAACATGTGGGTCTGGTCATGGAGACCAAGGTGCATGCACCGGCCAATGAGAGGGAAAACCCAGGGTGCCTTCCTCCTTCAAAGGAAAGATTTAGTGGGTCAAGGAGGATCGCTGGCCAGGTTGCTGTAACAGGACTCTCCTTCAAGCGCAGACAACCGTAATAGCACGCAAATCGGAGAACCTTGAACAGGCACACATTCGACGACGAAAAAGGGCGAAGGAGGCTACAGGACGTTTTCGGAGCTAGAAACTGCGGGTCACCTTATAGTTAAGGGTAGATTTTCAGATCAAGGGGCAATGGATGGACACGGTCGTACCTAGCGAGGCTTTGCTCTTCTTGAAGTTCAAAGATACGCTCCACTCCGCAAGCGCACCCTGTCTAAGCCTGTGTGTTGGGCTCAAAAGATCGATTCAGTGTCTTTTGCGAAAGCAATGCCTTTGATAGGATCATAAATTCTTTGCTTATCCGAAGAAGCTGTCGGGCATTTGCATTTCTGCCATGAAATGCGCTCTTAAACTCAAACAGGGCATAGAGCACAGCAGCATAAAAAATTACGCTGACGAAAATGTTTCGTCGCGCGTCGTAGTCCAGAGCCAGGGCTCAAATGACAACATAAAAAATGACGCAATATAGTCCTCCGTACAGAGCTAAGAAAAAATAAGAGAGACGTGGAGTAAGCCCCCATATCATTCGTATGTTTTTGCTGTTCATGGCTATTCCCATGCAGCAGGAGGGCTTTCCGTGTTAATCAAGCGTATGGCCATAAGACATGGTTTTGAGCCTACAAACTTGACGACAAGGAAGATTTCCGCGAGTTTGCAGTTTATAAAGACAAATATCATGCTCCCCACCGAGCATTTAGTCCCCAATGTCGTTTTTCTTTCTTCACACTTCGGCGTTACTAGACCCTGTGAAGTTCAAGGAGAGAGTGAGTGCGTTGCACTCTTATGGCAAGGTTCAACCGCCATCTTTGATTTATATATAGGCAGCACAGTGTATGCACGGTGGCACCTTTTTCCCGTTCTTCCCCAGCCCTGATTTGCGCTTTGTCTGCTCCCCCTTCCCTTGAGGCCTCCCTGCCGCGCCTTTGCGAGACGGTGCCTGACATGTATCATCTTCCATCCTCCGCCTGAAGTTCCTGCGAGCAAAGTGTCCTGAGGTCTGGTCAGGTCTGGTCGCACTATTTCCATTCCTTCCTGTCTGTCACAGCCGGCAAATGCCCTATTCTGACCATTGACCCGTTATACCCTGATCAGGGTGTGCAGATCTCGGCGCTATCTCTTTACCGCTCAATGTGCTTTAATTTTCCTGTTTGGCTCTCGATCGGACCCTCCTTTCCCTCTCCTGCCCCCGTGGCCGACGATGCCCATCCTCGGCTTCCTTCCTTCATTCCTTCCCCTCCCTCACGCCCTCCTTCGGGCCCTACGGCTCCTCCTGTTTCGGTGACACCTCCCTCGTTAGAGCGCGTTTTCTCTTCTTGCCCATGCGCCTGCACTTTAGCCTCTTGCTGCTGCTGCTGGTGTTGCCGTTGTGAAGTGCACGCCAAGAGCGCGGCAGCCGTGGAGGGAGGAGGGGGCAAGACGGGGTTGGACGAGCGACCCCTACCTCTTCCCCCCGACTCCGACATGCCCAGCGACGAGGAGGAGGAGGAAGAAGCCGAGTGGTTATGGTGGGAAGAAGTCGCCTCCTCCTCCTTCAGACTTTCCGCTCCCTCCCCTCCTGCTTCCTCCCCGCCCTCCTCCTCTTCCAGGCCTCGGAAGAAGAGCATTTCTGCGTACATCAAACGCTGCAGGACAGGCTTCGGTATCACAGACTTTCTTCGCATCCCTCCCCCCTCGTCTCCGCCCGCCCCTCTCAACGGTCGTTCCCATTCAAAATCAAAGGCTTTCTGGCACGCGGGTTCGTCCATTTGAGAGTGCAATTCGTGGAGGTAGGGGTGTGCGAGGGCCTCCTCGACCGTAATGCGATGCTCGGGGTGGAAAGTGAGCATCCGGGAGAGCAGGGCAACCGCTTGGGGATTGGTGCCACGGGGAAAGAAGGAAAGCAGCGGCCGCGGTCGCTGTTGCTCGGCTCGGGCCAGAATGGCTTTCTTGGCGGCGGGATGGGTCACGAAGGTCAACTGTTCCGGAGGGGGAAGGCCGAGTTTGGCGACGATCGTCTCCAGTTGGTGCAAAGGGTTGGACCCCTGGAAGAAAGGCTTCCGGCCCAGCATTTCTGCGAAAATGCAACCCAAAGACCAGATGTCCACCGTTTTCCCATAGTAGCAGGAGTCGCACAAAAGCTCAGGGGCCCGGTACCAGCGAGTGACCACGTACTCGGTCAGCTCTGGAAGTGAGAAGGAAGGGAGGGGGGGAGGGCCCGGGGGAGGAAGGGATAGGATGGACAGGCAAGGTCATGGTCGTGCTGGTTGTTTCGGGAAGATCCTTTCCCTGATCTGATCCGAGCTGGTCCTGGGACCCTCTCCCTCCCCTTTCACCCGGCCGCGACCCCCCCATCGCGGGCTTTCCCCCTTCAGCTGTCGCGCCTTCTAACCCCTGTCTCACCTTCCTCGTACTCGCCCTCCACCCCCCGGGCCAAGCCAAAGTCGCAGATCGTCAGGTCGCAGTTGGCGTTGACCAATAAATTGGACGGCTAGAAACGCAGGAGGAATTGGAGGGAGGGAGGGACGGAGGAAGAATGACACGCCCGGAATGCGTCGTGTTGGTTGAGAGGATGCTTGCACAAAATTCTTGCCCAAAAATAAAGAAGGAAACGCGGGACACGAAATGGTAGGGAAGGAGGGGAAGAAAAAGGAGGGAGGACGTGCAGGAGGGGCCAGGGCCCACCTTCAAATCCCGGTGGAGGACGTTGGCTGAATGCAGGTATTTCAGCCCGCGCAGGACTTGGTAGAGGAAATACTGAAAATGCTGATCGCTCAATGGTTGGTTGGAGCCAATAATGCGGTCCAAGTCAGATTCCTAGAGAGAAGCCAGAGGGGAGGGAGGGAACGAGGGAGGGACGTGGGGAGGGAGCGTTGGCCGAAGCGAATGGTGGTGGTCTGATGAATGTCTAAAAGGGAAGCAAAAAGGACTGAGCCCCAAGGAAGAAAATCCGCGATGGCTTGACGCTCGGTCGGGAATAAAACACGACGGGAAGAAAAGTGTCAGGAACAGAGACGCGATGAAAGAGATTGAAATAGAAGGGGGGATGGGAGGCAGGAGAAAGAAAAGTAAACCCACCATGAGGTTGGTGACAATGTAGACGTCGCGGAAGTCTTCCGTGTTTGGAGGAACGGTCATGATATCGTAGATCTGGACGATGTTCTCGTGCCCTATGAAATGCTAAAGGTGCCAGGGCGCGGGCGGGAACAAAAGGGACTGGTTCAGTGAAAAGGAGGAACTCAAATTCCGACTCACTTCGAGGGCAGTCGCTGGCCTTTGCTTCCGTGAGAATGTGCAGGCGAACATGATAGGGGAAGAGGGTGGGACACCCTGGGAAGAGAGTTCGACAAGCACTGGCCACAAACGAAACCATTTCCCCCCCTAGTCCGGCGTCAGAGATGGTCATCACCAACACAAAACGGCCAGCTTTCCCCCTTGTCCGGTGTCATATATATACAACAACGTCCCGATGCGGACTATTCACCTACCCGGAGGAGCTTGATTTCCCGCAAGACCCGCTTGGCGTCGACCAGGTCGTTGAACGTGTCCCCTACCTTCTTGATGGCCACGCGTCGACCGGTTAACTGATAATAGAGGAGCATTTTTGAGAGCCAAGGGTCAGATTTTCATTTACATTGACATCTTTGGCATCGATCTTGAGAAGCGGGGCCTAAGTCAGTGCTTAGATCTTAGGCACATACTTACCGAGTCATCGGCGGCGCAGACAAATCCGTAAGAACCATCTCCAATAGGTTTAAGATTAGTGTACCTATGGCAAGGAGATTGCAGTCGATGAGCAAGATGTGACTCATTCCTTCTCATCATAAAGTTAGGGAACCTATGTATTTTATTCGATGATCTTTTGTTCCGGTACTGCCGTGTTTAAATCCATTGGCCCCTGCCCTATCCTCTCTGTTTCCCCCTTATCTCACCGGACATCTAGGAAAAATGACTCCCTGGCCACTTGGACGGTATGGTATTCTACTTGTCGCGTTGCCATGACAAGAGGAATCTTTTGCGCTCGAGACCTTGCGCAAGTACAGGCAATGATCTTGACGCACAGGTATTCTCTTCTCGTTCTCTCTTTGCTCCCGTTTTCTCTTCAGAAAGCCTCAAAAAATGAATGAAAGGCACGGGACGGTGCGACCTGTACGAATGGAAAACGATCAGAGGACGTGGCAAAATGACTGTCAGAAGCCAGAGCTTTCATGAATATTGGACGTGCCAAGGCCAAATCGTGTCACCAAGGTTCCCTTCCTCCACCACATCACCCATTTCTATCTCCTAATGAGGCTATGTGAATGGCGAGGGTGGTGCAACGGAGAACTGTGCGCACTGTATGTGCCCCTGTCTACGGCCTGTCATGGGAATGGGCCGATGGGCTCTGGAGGGCTTAACGGTCGGACTTAACGGCTCACAGGCCAGTCTGCCATACCCCCTTCCGACGGTCAGAGCTTTATAAAACATTGACACAGCGCCAAAACCGTGATCATGCAAGATTAAGTGATCAGATGAAGCCTATGAAGAGGTTGGTAGCGAGAAGACTCTTTGTTGCAAGCGGGACAGATAAATATGGTCAGAGGAAGGGAGGGTTCGTCTGTCAGGCAGGTTTAGTTATGGCGACGCGTTTTCCCGTCATTAACCTCCGTTCATGACCTTCGCGGAGTTCGACATTTTCCTGAGCTCCAAGGATGTTCCATGAGCAATAATGGCGGCGCGCACGATGGACAACGTGAGCCATAGATCCTAATATATCCCTATCTTGTACGGTTAAAGCCGAAGCACCACATTGCCTGGATAGACCTTTTTCCCCATCCCTTGTTGACTGCTTCTATAGAAATAACTCTTTCGACATCGCGTGAATACAGGCACTTGCACGATTCGGATGGCTGCAAATGTGCCATTCTCGATTGTGGCCGTTGAGGAAGAAGTGGACTTGGTCATGGCTGAATTCGTGACCGCAGCACGTCAAGAGTGTTTGATTGCCGCCACGCGCAGAGGAGACGTCAGCACCGTTGCCGAACTTCTCGAACAAGACAATTCCCTGCTTTATCACACGATACATCGGAAAACTAGCCTCCTGGTGGTCGCGGTGAAGCACGGACATCATGCTCTGTGTGAATTTCTGATACGAAAGGGGGTGGAGGTGAACAAAATTTGCAACGCAGGCCTCACAGCGGTCCATCATGCGGCCATGCTCCCGGATTCTCAAGCTATCCCTCTCATTCACCTGCTTGTGAAACACGGCGCTCACTTGAATCCTCCGCCTCACACACGCCGTTATGGTTGGCAGTCGCCTCTACACCTAGCTGTGGAGAAAAAGCGGCTCGGCGCGGTGAGGGAACTGGTGGCGATGGGGAGTAGTATTTTCGGACGTAACGGACAACAGCAGACTCCTCTCGCACTATGCGGTCAATTTTCAGCGGTTGCCAAAGCAATGGACGAGGGTTTCCGACTACAAAGGCTTCGGTCTTTGATACGGAGATTGTTCCTCTTGAGTGGAACCTTACCTCTGATGCGCCCACCAGGGGAAACGAAAGACAGGAACCTCGCATCTGTGTCTCATGGGAAACGAGGAAGACAAAGAGAGGGAGAGAGTGTGTTGGACGGTGGTGTGAGAGGAGAAGCGTTGAAAGATGAGAGGAGGAAAGATGGCGCGGACGAAAGGGGACCCACCGTAGGGGAAAAGACGGTGATCCTCGTAAACGGAAAGCAAAAAGGCAAGCCGGACAGGGGGAAAAGCTGGGGAAAAATGAATGCCATCGAACGACGATATCGCATGGGGAAGGGATCTCCTCTCTTGACATTCAACTGCCGCGAGATTGGGAAAGAAGAGCTGGGAAGAGGCGTGGAAGGAGAAGATGATGGAGGGGGGGAAGGAGGAGGGGATGGAGGGGGGGAAGCAGCGGGAGGTGTCGAAAGAGGACAAGGTCTGCAAAGGGAGGACAAAGAGAACGAGAAGAGAGCTGGTTGCGGGAGGGGCGGGAAAGCCAAGAAATGCGAGGGAAAGGGAGCGCAAGGAGGAGGGAGAAAGCAGAAGTCTACCCGCAGTAGAAAGAAGCTGGAAGAGAGGCGCACTGCCCGTTTGATGAAGACTGTCTTTGAAGAGCTACCTTTTGACTTGCGCTCTACTATAGTAAAATTTGTGTGATGAGGAGCGAGGGACGGGACGAGGAGTTGAAAGAGGGCGAGGAGGCGGGGGTGGTGGAGGAGGAAGAAAAGGAGGAGGAATGGCAGGCGACGCCATGTATGTGTTGGCATGGCTCTCGACCTTCCTTCCGACTGCCTGTGTCGGACGCGAGCAAGGCTGACCCCCTTTCCCCATGTCCTCCCTCCACTCTCCTCATTCCTCCCTCCCCGCCCAGGTACCAGGGCGAACAAGCGCGGCGAGGGGCGAGGCGTTATTGATTCCCGACGAGCCACGTCCATCATAGGAGGGACGGAAAGTGCCACTGGTGCAGCAATACTTGACCTTCTGCTTAGAAAGAAGCACTTTTTGTGCAAGGAGAGGGTCCTATCGACAGAGCGGGCGAAGGACCGGGGCCCCTGCTTCCTCATCCGCAGACAATTTCCCTGTTGAAAGTATCGCAGCAGATTTCACCAGTAGCGGGGCAACATATCTAAAAGAAAGGCAAGCCTGAGACCAGCAGCAGGCATGGAAACACGTCAATCGACGGCGAGCTCGTCGTCTTCAGTGCCCGCGGCGGCAGCGGCGGCGGGGGCACACGTGCTTTACAGGGGGATTATGGTGCAGCCAATCCGAGACACGATAAAAAAGCGGGGCAGTGTTAAGGTTCTGGAGCGAGCGGCGCTGGGAGTGGATGGGGTGGGACGGATTTGCTATTTCAAGGCGGATGAAGAAGAGAAGGACGAAGAGGAGGGAAACGAGGAGGACGCGACACCCAAACGGGTAGAAGCACAAGGGGAAGAGGCCAGATCCGCGGCCCTTGCATCATCCCATCTAGTCTCCTGCCAGCCTCCCCCTCCTTCCCTTCGCATTGTCACCCTCCCTCCCTCCCACTTCCTCCTCCCCGGCCTTGTCGACACCCACCTCCACGCCCCTCAATTTGGCTACACGGGCACCGCCACCCATTTGCCGTTGCTGGAATGGCTGAACCGGTACACTTTTCCCTCCGAGGCTCGGCTCGCCAGCGATTTGTCCTACGCCCAGTCCCTCTACCGCTCCCTCCTTGACACGGTGGTAGGGCAGGGTACCACCACGGCCCTCTACTTCGCCAGCAAGGACCTGGCTCCCACCAAGCTACTGGTCGACCTGATCCACGCCAAGGGGCAGCGCGGTTTCGTAGGGAAGGTGAACATGGACAGGCATGCGCCCGAGGACTACTGTGAGGCGTCCGCCTCCGCCTCCTTGGCAGCGACGGAGGCGTTCCTCGACTACGTGCTGGACGTGGTGGCTTCCCCGTTGGTCCGCCCGGTCTTGACCCCACGCTTCCTCCCCACCTGCTCCGACGCCTTACTCCAAGGGCTGGGTGCCCTGGCGCGCAAATATGCAGGAAGGGAAGGAGGGCGGGAAGGAGGGCGGGGTGGGTCGACACCCGGTTTACACATCCAGTCCCACATCAGCGAGAGCGCGGACCAGGTGGCTTTCAACCATCGTCTGGCCGAGCACCACCAAGGAGAGTCTCGGGACCTTCCTGTCTTCGAACGGTGCGGGCTCCTCACCCCGCTGACCGTCTTGGCTCATGGTATCCACCTCTCCCCCTCCGAGCTCGCCATCCTGGCGCGTAGGGGGGCCGGCCTCGCCCATTGCCCCCTCTCGAATTTCTTCTTCGGACACGGAGTACTCCCCGTGCGGAAGGTTCTAGAAGCCGGGGTCAAGGTCGGTTTGGGCACTGACGTGGCAGGAGGGTACTCGAGCTCCATGCTGTCGGCGATCCGGTCCTGCGTGTTGGCCTCGCGGGCCCTGGAGGACGGGGTGGAGGAATGGCGGCATGGGGAGGAGGAAGGGGAGAGGGAGGGAAAGAAGGAGGGAGGGAAGCAGGGAGGAGAGCAATGGTGCAAAGAAGGGAGGGAGGGAATGAGGATCGATTGGAAGGAAGCCCTGTGGCTTGCGACGATGGGGGGGGCGGAATGTCTGGGCTTGGAGGAGGAGGTGGGTTCATGGGCGGTGGGGAAAGCCTTCGACGCAGTCCGGGTAGATGTGAAGAAGGGAGGGGCAGTGGTGGTGCTGGAGGGTGGGGGAGACAGTGCAGAGGACCTGGTGGAAAAATGGGTGAATAACGGGGACGACAGGCATGTCCTTGAGGTGTATGTGGTAGGGAGGGAGATCAAGCACGGGGGGTGGGAGGGAGGGGGCGGCGGGGCGGGGAAGGGGCGATCAAAGACACAGAAATAATGGCAAGTCAATGCATATCTGCTTAGGGAGTGGCATCGCACATTTCTCTCGTCTCCGGAATTCGCAGCTTGCGTCGCATTTAAGCCGGATCTCTTCCTGTACCCCTCGCTCCTCCCCTCCTCCCTCCCTCATCGCGTACCCAGCGGCACAATTTTCAAGGAGAAATCCAAAGCCGGATAGCCCTGGGTCAAGCTCCCGCGACTGATCACATCCACATGAGGGGAAAAATATTCCTCCAGGGTCTCGGTGGTGATCCCTCCCGAGGCTTCTATCACTACGTGCGGGTACTGGCTTTTCACGAGCGCAGCCGTTTCTTTCAGTTGAGGAGGGGCAAAATTGTCAAGCATGATCACGTCCGCCCCTGCGGCCCCCGCTTCCTGCGCTTGCGACAAGGTCTGGCACTCGACCTCTATTTTGATGGAAAAGGAACCCACCCCTCGCGCCGCTTTCACGGCCTTGGTGATGCTCCCCGTGCTCCACACGTGATTGTCCTTGAGCATGACCATCTGCGACAAATCCTGCCGGTGTGTGGCCGCCCCTCCGATCAACAGGGCGTATTTTTCCACCATTCGAAAGCCGGGAGTGGTCTTGCGGGTGCCCGCAATGGTCCCATGCCACCCTGCGCGACGCCCAATGTCCACCGAGGCCCGGGAGATGGTGGCGATCCCACTTGCCCTAGTCAAAATATTCAAGGCCGTGCGTTCTCCAAGCAAAATATGGCGTGCTTTGCCTTTGACTGTTGCCACGTGGACCTTTATAGACTGCTCTCTGTCAGTCTCGTCTTGCTTTCCCTGGTTGGGATATGTGGTTGCTTTACTGGGTACAGGAGGAGACAACACCGCTCCATCTTCCATTCCTTCCATCCACTCCACCGTGCAATCCAACGCTTTAAAGACCGCGTCAAAAAAAACTTTTCCACAAAGGATCCCTTTGGATTTTCCGTAGAGGAGCGCGGTCGTAGGCGTTTCTGTGGGATGATAGCAATGAAAGCACGCAGGAGCGGAGTAAGAGGTGGAGTGCAGAGATAAAAATACCTCACCGAAAAACGCCCATGAAAATTTACGATCACTTATGTAAAGGAAAAAGTAGAATTTTAGTAGCATGTCATATAAAGCATACAAAGCAGCAACGGGAAAGAGACAATGCCGTTGCCAAAATCGAGCGTACTCACCACCCACAACAAAGCCACCGATATCCATGCTAGGTACGTCTTCTTCCAACCAGCCAAGGACAGCGCGCGTCACTTGCCAGGGCGGGAGTGCTTGTGCTATATTGCCCTGCATCGTTTTTAATTCGCTCGTTGCCGAGTCCTTTTTGGGGAGGGGGTGTCGGTGTGCTTGCTCAGCCCTGTGCCAAGGGGTGGGGAGGTTTTTCCTCAACACGTACGTGGTCTTTACAACCTTGGGACCCTGTTGTTGTGGTCAACTGCGACATGTTAATGACGGGAAAAGCAGAGATGCGTAGCTTCCTCTCTCAAAATATTACATGCTTACCATGTAAGCAGTCTTCACGAACGGAGTGGTGTCACAGCCTTTGCTCAGACATGGAATCGCCATATCGCTTACTCCTTACTGAAGGTGTGCTCATTTCCCTCCTGTACAGTTCCTGGCATAACTTCTCTTGTATCACAAAACAGGAAAAACAAAGCTCTGTTGAGCGGTCATAGAAATACGACTGCCTGGACTTGGAGATGTCTAGCTTAGATGGACCTGAGGACCAGGACAAAAAGCGGCGCAGACTCGTTTTGCACCTCGCGAAGTCCGATCCCCTTCCCGCCGCGGCCAGATCTCTGCTTGCACCGCAGCACTCCTTGAATACCAGCGACCATGGCAAGTGTATGGATGAAAACAGTGAGAGCATTGTAATGACGGGGGGAATCGCGGAGAAACCCGTGCACGACCTGACTCTAGAGAGTGACGAGGACGACGAGGAGCAAGTGGAGGTTATCGAGTCCCCGCATCCCCGAGGTTCTGGAATCGAAAATGGCCGCGAGACTGCTGCCAGCAATCCATGTGCCGCGGAAACACAGGCAGAACTCAAGAAAAGCTGGAAGAACGGGGCCGAACACGCGAACTACTCCAGCAGTAGCGGTGGGAAGGTGGGCTCGTCGGCAAGTCTCCCTCTACTTCCCTTCTACCTGGGCCAGGTCCGTGGTCTCTCCCCTGAATACAACGCGCAGTGCCTGGGGTTGGAGGATATTTTCTCCGGTGCTTTTCATCGCGCCATTGTCTGCAACTACATGTACGAATGGTCCTTCTTCCTGGAGACCCTGCCCCGCCTCCTCTCCATCCCTTGGCTGTGCATCTACGGAGATGAAAACCCGAGCACGCCCCAGATTTCCGAAGCCTTTCCCAACATCGCCACCTTCAAACCTAGGTTCCGCAACACACCCTTCGCCTGGGGAACGCACCATTCCAAAATGGCCCTGCTATTGTACGAGGGGGGCATCCGCGTGATGATCTGCACGAGCAATTTCATCGAGGTGGACTGGCACAACAAGACGCAGGGGATCTGGGTGCAAGACTTTCCGAAATTGCGCGAGGAAGACAAAGCGGACGATTCCTTGTTCGGTCGGGACCTGAGGGAGTACCTGCAGGCTTTGAATGGTTTCGAGAACGAGTGCGGGTCGCGAGGTGGGGAAGGAGGAAGGGAAGGAGGGAGGGAAGGAGGGAGGGAAGG